ACAAACACACACACTTGTGATGATGATGTTTTGTGTGTGAGGATGTTGGTAGCACTACATCTCACACACACACACCTGGTGATGATGTTTGTGTGTGAGGATGTTGGTAGCACTCCATCACCACCTCACCACACACACAATTGGTGATGATGTTTGTGTGTGAGGATGTTGGTAGCACTACATCACCACCTCACCACACACACACATGGTGATGATGTTTGTGTGTGAGAATGTGTAGCTTCTCCCACTATACACCTGATACCCGGGATTGATGTGGAAATGTGTTTGCGTGTGTAAGTGTGGAGATTGAACGTTGTGTCACACATGTCTACACACTAATGGAACACGTATTGATGTATGTTTTTTATGTGAAAGGGACACACACACACACACACACACACACACACACACACACACACACACACACACACACACACACACACACACACACACACACACACACACACACACACACACACACACACTTATGTTTGATTCCTTTTATATCCATGCATGGAGTACCTTCATCCCGCTGTATGCATTATAATGAGTGTGCCTTGTGTGGGTCTATAAGTGTGCGTATATATACTTTGTCAACTGAGGTCTAATGGTACTTGTGATCAACTCTCAGCGTTTATTGTTACTATTAATATTACCACTATTATTATTGTTGTTATTATTAACAAAATAAAAATAACACACTTATAATGCAGGAAAATTAGGAAAACTAGCAACCAATCATCTCTCAATTCGTAATAACCACTGCCAATTTTCCTTCCATGCAATCAACTTTTTCACGCAATCTCCATCAATCCAGGCAGGAAGGGTCAGCTGCATGTGGCTGTGTGTTATACGCAATTAAATGGCAGTGGGAGGTGCAATTACCACACACAGCTGTTGGGGGCTTACCGTGGGAGCGCCATTACCAGCTGATCAATGTAAACAAAGAGCACGTGGCCCGAGACATTAGGACTTGCCGCCAGAGCTTGGGGATTAAAATGTCAACATCGAGGCCACTAATGCGGTTTGCGGCTTAAGGTATATCGGCACTTTGGCTGGAATTATCAAAATAAATCCCAATTGGCTGCTTTGATGACATTAGAACTCAAGATATTATTCGTAAAAGGATAGACACAAACACACACCAGAGGGAGGGAGAATGGAAAGGAGGGTGAAAGGAGGGAGGGAAGGAGAGAGGAGGAAGTGTGGGAGGAGGAGAATAGGAGGAGAGGGAAGGGCGAAGGAGGAAGGGACGAAGGAGGGGGAAGGGCAGGAGATGGAAGGGGCAGAGGGAGGAGGGCGAAGGTGGGGAGGGAGGGCAGAGGAAGGGGGCGAAGGAGGGGAGGGAAGGGGCGAAGGAGGGGAAGGGGGAAGGAGGGAGGGAAGGGCAGGAGGAAGGAGGAGGGAAGGGGCAGAGGAGGGAGGGGCAGGAGGAGCGAAGGAGGAGGGAAGAACGAAGAAGGGAGGAAGAACAAGGAGGGAGGGAAGGAGGGTGGGAGGAGGGAAGGGCGAAGAAGGAGGAAGGGCCAGGGAGGGCGTGGGAGGAGGAGGAGGGATGGAGAGGGAAGGGGGGGTGAGTACCGAAGTGCTTATGACTTACCGACTTTACCATGCGTGTGTGTGTGTTCACGCGTGTGATACGACACACACACACACACCAAACCACCCATTCTGCCACCCACAACCAACGACGCACTCTGCCATTCGCACCGACGCACACCTTTCCCTCAACACACCCGCCCACCCACTTACCTTCCGAACACCCGCCTACCGCCCATTTACCTTCAACCACTCACATCCGAACACCCACCCAAATCATCTCCCCAACAACGTGTCATTATCGCCACCCTAACTTTCATCTTCACGCTCAAAGGACATAATACACCGAGTATCATTTCACCGTCAATGAAAAAAAATGAATTAAAAGATTACTAATTAGAAAACAATAAAGACGTTGCTGCTGGTTGAGGGAGTTTTCAAATAAGACTCAAGACTGCTAATTACACCTGCACATTTTGTAGAATGATTTACCTTTTTTGCCACCAAAAATCAGCTAACTCTATGTATAAGACGACAACAACAGCCGCCTCCTCACACCGTAAAATTAGTCTGATGTACTATGGTCTGCCGCTCTCACGGGCATTTTATAAAGTGAGTGAAAATACAAGGCATTTGATCCCTTAGCCAGGTAATTAGTGATGGTGTTGGATCCTGCGCTGGTGTGTGTGTGTGTGTGTCACTTCCTTCTCCTTCCTCTTTTATTTAAGTTCTTCCTTCTAGCCCACATCACTCTTTTCTCTTTTTCTCTTCCCCCTCTTTTCTTCGTTCCTCCTTTCTGATGTTATTCACTTTTTATTTTTCTTCCTTTCCCCTATCTTTTACCATCCTTCTCCTCCTCCCCCATATTCATTCTCCACCTCTTTCCCCTCCCTCTTCTAACTTTCCACCTCACTCACCACTTATCTTCCTCTTCCTCTCTTCCCTCACCCCCTATTCTAACCACTCTTCTCCCACTCCCTCTTCTACCCCTCATCCTCAGTACATACACTCTTCCAGCAAAGCTACCCCACGCTTCCCCCAACACCACCCCTCCCTACCCCCCCACCATAACAACTCCCATGTTGCACTCATCCACCCCACGTACCCACACAACTCAAACTATCACCTGATACACGCCACGCCACACTGCACCACGCCACACTGCACCACGCCTCCTTGCCAACTAATATTCCTAGGTAAGAATTAACCACACACCGCGATAAGTATCACGCCACACACACTAACACATCTTACCCACGCCACACACACCCCAACACACCTTACCCACGCCACACACACCCCAACACACCTCACACATTACCCGCCACACACACCCCAACACCACACATTACCACACACACACACACACACCCCCAACACACATACCACACACCACACCCCAACACACCTCACATTACCCACGCCACACACCACACATTACACACACACACCCAACACACACCTCACATTACCCACGCCCACACACACACACCCCAACACACCTTACACACACACACACACACACACCCCAACACACACACATTACCCACGCCACACACACACACACACCAACACACACACATTACACACACACACACACACCCCAACACATACATTACCCACACACACACACACCCCCAACACATACATTACCCACACACACACACACCCCAACACACCTTACATTACCCACGCCACACACACACACACCCCAACACACCTTACACACCCAAGCCACACACACACACACACCAACACACCTTACATTACCCGCCACACACACACACACCCCAACGCACATTACATTACCCACGGCACACACACACACCCCAACACACCTTACATTACCACGCACACACACACACACCCCAACACACCTTACACATTACCCACGCCACACACACCCCAACACACCTACACATTACCCACGCCACACACACACACACACCCCAACACATACACATTACCACGCCACACACACACACACCCCAACACACCTTACACATTACCCACGGCACACACACACACACCCCAACACACCCACATTACCCACGGCACACACACACACCCCAACACACCTTACACACATTACCCCCCCACACACACACACACACACACACCCCAACACACCTTACACATTACCCACGCCACACACACACACACACACACCACCCCAACACACCATACACATTACCCACGCACACACACACACACCCCAACACACCTTACACATACCCACACACACACACACACCCCCAACACACCTTACACATTACCGCACACACACACACACCCCAACGCACATTACACACACACACACACCCCAACACACACACATTACCCACGCCACACACACCCCAACACCTTACACATTACCCACGCCACACACACACACACACACACCCCAACGCACATTACACATTACCCACGGCACACACCCCAACACACCTACACATTACCCACGCCACACACACACCCCAACACACCTTACACATTACCCACGCCACACACACACACCCCCCAACACACCTCATACATTACCCACGGCACACACACACACCCCAACACACCTCATACATTACCCACGGCACACACACACACCCCAACACACTCACACACTATCTTACTACACAAAACCAGTCCCCAACACCATTAACACCACAATGCACAAACCAAAGCAACACCACACTACATCCCGTTTCACCACATTACCATTACCTCACCACGTCACATCCCTCACCACACACCACCTTCGCCTCACAACACATAACCAACATTTCACCTCACATCACCATCCCACCACACATCACCATCACCTAACTACACATCACCATCACCACACGTCACCATCACCTCACTACACATCACCATCACCTTCACCACACATCACCATCACCTCACATCACCTCACTACACATCACCTCCTGCACATCACCATCACCTTCACCACAAATCACCTCACATCATCATCACCTCACCACACACATCACCCTCCACCACACGTCACCATTATCTCACCACACATCACCATCATCTCACCACAGGACATTACCCTCCATCATCTCGCCTCCGTTTCCGCTCAGCCGCAAACACACGTACATTTCAGTGCCTTTCAGACGTACAGTAGCTAAAACAACTATTTGTGCAAGTGGGGGGTCGATATGCTCCGAAATTTTACGTGTGACTAGTGACAGCCCTCATATACCAAAATTTATCGTCCATGGTCTCATATTGTTTCCCACAAAGTATGCACAGATAGTTGTTTTAGCAAGTGTGTGTGTGTGTGTGTGTGTGTGTGTGTGTGTGTGTGTGTGTGTGTGTGTTACTATTTGTTGAAACTGACAATCTTAGACCAAACAAAATCAACTGTGGCGGGTGGAAATGACCGTCCGTTTACGGATAACTTAGGCGTAAAACTACAGCAGAGAATATCGGTGACAAATGCGCAACGACGACAACAGAGGCGACGACGACAAAGACGACAAAGTGACAACGACAAAGGTGACGCCGACAAAGGCGACGACAAAGACGACAACCGTGACAACGGCGATAAATGTGACAACCGCGACAACAGCGATAAATGTGACAACAGCGACGACAAGGGCGACAACAACGACGACAAAGGCGACAAAAATAACGACAAAGGCGACAACGACAAGTGTGACAGCAACAACAAAGACGACGACAACGACGACGACGAGAAAGGCGACAACAACGACGGCAGTGAAAACGATAAATGCCTAGTACGGCGACTTCAAAGGCGACAAGACGACATAGGCGACACAAAAAATGGTAACAGTCACCCACAATTTCCTTACAGATTTTTTACTCTGAAATCATCCGACAGTAACAGCTTGTTCGTGTTAACTGGAACGAAAATAACAATGTCATTTATTAAACACGTCACGTATACCTTCTACCTAACAGCAGGTAGTTGAGTTCTTATTGCGTTGCCTTTGTGTTTGTGCTGCCTTAAACAGACTATTCCAGACTAACTCAAAACTAGTCACACACACACACCATTAATTTAACCCACATATAAAAATTCTCCCTCTCGTAAGAAAAACATTCTCAATCAGGTCAGGAGGACAATGAGCTCACTGAAAAATCCATAATACGCTATACTGTTATTGTATTTAAAGGTGAAAATCCCTTCATGTCAAATGGGTTAAGGACTTCTCCAGGTGGTTCACATTAAGAGCGTCTGGGAAAGGTCACATGGTGAGAAAAACACACACACACACACACACACACTGTTCAGGTGGTGTGGCAGGTGACGACACGACAGATGGCAGACGAGGTGGGTTTTTAGAGAGGCAGACAGAAAAAAGATGAGAGAGAGAGAGAATAAAAATATAAATAAATTAAACACTATAGCTAAAACAATTAATAATAATAAGAGAGGAAGTGAGAGACAAACACAGAAACAAAAAGACGACGAAGAGAAAAAACACTCAATCGCCAACTCTTCTCTTCTCCACTCCTCCCCCAACCAGACAGCGAGGGCTTTAATACCCAGTTATTGTGCCGTAATGACTGTCATTCCGAAGCGAGACGACATCACCCCTCTCTGACTGACGCCGACAATCTTGCAATATCTCTCGCCTCTCCTCGCTACGCCTCCCCCCAATACATACGCCCAGTCAAAGGGTCGCACTTGTAAGGTGACCAGACCAGAGGTTATCCAAGGTCCAGTATACACAATTCAGTAATATCCAATGGGCAGTATGCATAATATATCCAAAGCGTGGTATACATTATACAGTTGTGCCTACAGTATACATAATAGCATAGCCTAAAAGAGTATATACATCAGGTAAAAGTTATGAGTGGTTATGACTTACGAGGGATAAAACTATAGTTACTTCTCTCTCTGGACTCATAGAATGTAAGACAACTACTTCTTACTCCACAGTTAAGCACATAATTTCATCTATCCACAGCGTGAAGGGAGACCACTGGTTAACAACACTTGTGTCCTTCAGAGGTCACCCCTACCACGTGCACCTTCCCTAACATATTTCAAAGAAAAGAAGAGAGAGAGAGAGACTGTTGATATGTTGAGAAGGCATCCAACACCTCCTTAAGCTACGATACCCAAAAAAAGGTCATCCGGTATCCCATTAAACTTTGACCATACTCTCTCGAACACTTCACTTGTAAGAGTACAAGGCCCAGATGCTCAGTGACTCATGAATGAAATAAAAAAATGATGATGCACGAAAGTACTGGCTCACTGAAATAAGGAACTAAACATATCAGCCTTAATGGTCGGAATTTCACTGAGATTGTACCGTAACATCACCCATATGACTGAAGCTGGATTTTCAGAGATTCATAAGTGAACTTTTTATCTCCCCAAGATGGTCGTGTGTTAAAACGTAACTAACTGACACGTAACGACACTATAGATGAGGGTCGAAATATCTATCCATAACTTGTTTGCGGAGTTACATTAATTTTGTTGTCCTTTAAATTGTGTTACGTGGTGGTATACAGTTAAGGTAGAGGTTCGGGAAATATTGACGCCATTTTGGAGGTGGGCTCATTTATCTCCAGTCACGATGTAGACAACGACGACAATGTCAACAACCATGCCACAAACTTCTGATACGTCCACATAAATAATGCAAACAACGATCTCGCAAACAATCACAGCAAACATATTAACTCCAGCACAAACAGCATCGTTAGGGGGGCCAACAAACAAAGTGACGTCATCAGTTAAACACAGCCCAAGACGACTACAAACAACCCCTGACTCGGTAACACAGGTAAGAGTCTACCTTTACTATATGCAAATTACCCTTAAAGGTTATGACAAGAGCACCATAGAGGTGAAAATGTTCCCTCAACTCCTCAGGTACACAGCTGAAGCTAATTGGCTCAGGTAATTACACTGTGATTGAACCCAGCTGATGTATTTACCGTCGGAAATTTTCGACCATAGCTCAGGATCTATTTCGCTAAGGTTTAGAGTGAACCCCCGGCTATTTATGTTCTTAAATTTAGCAAATGATAGAGTAAGTAGTCGGAGCTTTAATGAACTGCTGGGGTGAGAGGTAAGGAGGTGGAGGGGGCGTGGAGAGAAGAGGGAAAGGTAGGTGTGTGGGTGTGTGTGTGTGTGTGTGTGTGCGTGGGTGTGTGGGTGTGTGTGTGTGTGTGTGTGTGTGTGTGTGTGGGTGTGGTGTGTGTGTGTGTGGGTGTGGGTGTGTGTGTGTGTGTGTGTGTGCATATAAGACATGGCCTAAACATTCCTGCCTTAATAACCTTTCATCACTGACTACTTACCCTCGTTAACAAGTCCATATCATCATCATAAAATATTGTACGGACGGTGCGTGTTGACCCCGTGTACAGAATGACGTTTACACCCGATAATACTCCTGTAACACAACCAGGATCTAGACAAACTCTGGTACGTATATCATCATAAACAACAATCAAACACGGATCCAATGCTCCCCTGAGGTACCCCTGACACGTTACTGGCACTGATCGGACACTGTCTTCATCCTGGCACTATCCTCACCCTGGCACTATCCTCACCCTGGCACTATCCTCGTCCTGACACTATCATCTTCCTGGCACTATCCTCGTTAAGACTATCGTCGTCCTGGCACTATCATCACCCTGCGTTATTTTCTTGGCACTTCCCTCGTCCTGGCACTGTCCTCGTCTTGGCACTCTTCTCATCCAGGCGTTATCTTTATCTTGGCACTATCCTTGCCATGACATTACCACCGTTTAGGCACTATCTTCGTCCTGGCACTATCATCCCAGTGCCTTGCTAAAGCATAACCTTAGATCCAAAGCGATGTTACCAAGTTCCAGGGGTGACGGTTAAGCTGTTCTTAAAATAAACAAAACACCCTCACGCGAAAAAAACATCTCACCAGTCAGGTCAGTAAAAGCGGGTATTGTCCACACAGCCAAAACAATTATGTGAGGAACGTTTCTTAACTAGTTCCTTAAGCAGCGACACTTTGACGTAAAAGACCTTAATGACGTCATAATTACACCAAGACTCGAGGGGAGGAGGGGGTAACAAGTCACCCCATGTGATGAGAGAAGAATATGCTTCCATGAAACACACACTCTCTCTCTCTCTCTCTCTCTCTCTCTCTCTCTCTCTCTCTCTCTCTCTCTCTCTCTCTCTCTCTCGTGTATAAAGTCACTGCCGGTGATGTGTCGAGTATTGCAACAGCAGTGAATGGCCCATAAAACTGCTTCCTTACACTCAAACAAAAAGTCACCGTTAATGTTGTTGACTTAAAATTACTTAACAGTGAAACAAAGACCATAAGCTCGCTTCCTCTTTCGTGTCTCAATCAATCAGTGTCTTTACTAACGTGTCGAAACAGTGAAAACAAAACAAACAAACGATTCCTCTCTTGTTTATTAAGCCACTGCCATTATTGTCGCCCCGAGTATTGCGTCGGCAGTGAAAACGTCCATAAAATCGCTCCTCGTCTGTAACTGGTTCATAAAATTCCACCGACTCAGTTAATGTCTCCGTCATGGCAGTTAGGAGTGAAGACCCCACCATAAAATCACTCCCTCAATCTCGTTTCTCAAGTCCAATTCTTCCCTCTCGTTTATGAAGTCCAAATCCCCTCTCTCTCTCTCTTGTATCATATCCACTCCCTCCCTCTCTCTTGTATCATATCCACTCCCTCCCTCTCTTTTATCAAATCCAATTCCTCCCTCTCGTTTCTCAGTCCAGTTCTCCCCACTCGTTTTCAAGTCCACTCCTCCTTCTCGTTTTCAAGTCCAATTCCATCCTATCATTTATCAAGTCTATTCCCTCTCTCATAAGTCCACGCCCTTCGCCTCAAGTCACGCAGCCTTCCCTAATAACCTTCCCGTATACAAGAACAAGTGTGGCCACCAGATGCCTCCGTCACCGTCGCCGGGGTCGTTCTTGGTACAACAAGATCCGCATGAATCCGTTTGTCGGTCGGATTGGCTGGTTTTGCATTTAGATTGGAGTTTCATTGTTGAATTAATCAGATTAGTGACAATCTTCTTGAAGTCAGGAGGGTGATATCCCCACCAGCGTAGGAACCTTAAATGCCGGGGATTGTCTGAGGATCGAGATGTTTTGATCGAAAGAGCGACGTTAGAAAGTAGAATATATTGCACGATAAGTCGGTAATGCTGGGGGTCTATTATACAAGAGGGGGAGAGAGAATAATGGCAACTATTTGGTGAAGCGGGAAACAATAAACATTTCGCCTCGCATAATGGCGGGTTTTTTACCAATGTTTACTGGGGTGTAATGTGTAATAAATCAATGTTGGTAAGTAGAGATGTCCTGGAATTGTGTGTGTGTGTCAGACAGAGACAGACAGACAGCTTGCCTGCCTCTGAGAGAGAGAGAGAGAGATAATAGGATTGAAGGATTTTAGAGATGGATGAGCTGAAAAAACAAAAATACTCAGTTTCTAGTTTTACCATTTCATTATTTTATTAATATTTCTTAGTCTTCTGTTTATCATCTTTCTGTTTTTAGTCATGAAGTGGGAAAAAACGATTCGAATGACGATATAAAAGAAATGATACTAGGGTAGGGTAAGGTAGGTTAGGGTAGGGGAGGGTAGGGTAGGGCTGGGTAGGGTAGGGTAGGGTAGGGTAAGGTTGGGTAGGGTAGGATGGGTGGGGTAGGTTGGGTAGGGGTAGGGTAGGGGTAGGTTGGGTAGGGTAGGGTAAGGTTGGGTAGGGTAGGATAGGGTGGGGGTAAGGTTGGGTAGGGTAGGATTGGGTAGGGGTAGGGGGTGGTAGGGTAGGGTAAGGTTGGGTAAGGTAGGGTAGGTTGGGTGGGGTAGGGTAGGTTGGGTAGGGTGGGGTAGGGGTGGGGTAAGGTATTGGGTTGGGTAGGGTGGGTTAGGTAGGGTAGGGTAGGAAGGTAAGGTTGGGTAGGGTAGGGTAGGGTAGGGTTAGGTTGGGTTGGGTTGGGTAGGGTAGGGTGAGGTGAGGTGGGGTCGGGTAGGGTGAGAGTAGAGTGAGGTAGGGTAGAGGGTCGGATAGGGTAGGGTGAGGTAGGGTAGGGTGAGGTGAGGTGAGGTCTCGTCCCGCCTTGACAAATGACAGGTTAAAACTTGCTAATCCTAAGAGACCCCAATCCTAACAGACCCCAGTCCTAATAGGCCCCAATCCTAATAGACCCCAATCCTAACAGACCCCAATCTTAATAGAGCCCCAATCCTAATAAACCCCAATCCTAATAGACCCCAATCCTAACAGGCCCAATCCTAACCGTCATCAATCCTAATAGACCCCAATAGACTGAGGTTAAATTCAAATTAACATACGTTCTTATGGGTTCCAATCCCAAAGGAACCATGAACAGGCACTAGTGGGCCCCAATTCAAGTGGTAGGTTTGGTAAGTTAGGGGCAGTACAGTAATGGGGCCCATTAAGAATTGGCACAATTATAACTGAAGCTCATTAACCTAACCTAACCCGTTAACATCTCTTATCTAGTACAGGGTAACCAATGTACCTGTACCAGCCCTCTTTGCCAAATTACCCTCCACCTCACCTGACCACTTTACAGGAATGTTCTATGGTCTGAGAAGCGCACTACTGAGTCTAGCACATAACACAAGTGGCATATACATTACAGGTGTGGAAATGACGTGTGTTAAATGAATTCCCTGAGGTGACATGACTCCCATTGGCTGAAGAACAACTGTAATAACAAACGTGCTAACTTACTATTATACATGCCATAAGAAATACATTACGCCAAACTAGATCTGCCTGATAAACAAGTCCACCAATCCTATACTGAAACACGTGCTATATCAACCACAGGTGTGCGATAAGAAACTGGTTTGACGAGAGACCATCCAAGCATCATTACAACTACCATCCTAAATTTCCTATCCTAACTTAGAATTCTCAAAACTCATACGTCAAAATTTTTTTTTCATAAGTCGAAAATTTTTCCTCATACGTCGATTTTTTTTCCCGCAATTCAATCCCCTAAATAGTGACACGGAAATGCAGCTCACTACACACCACACCACACCACACTAACATCCAAAATGGCGCCAGAATCACTCTTAGACTCTACCTTGATATGTTCACTAGATAAAAAGAACAATGTTGTTTAAGGACTCTAGAATAATGAAGATCGCAAATTAACGGATTATTCATTCAGTCACATAATCGCCTTTGGATCCTATAATCGATCGTAAAATCCCTTACTTGATTCTATAACCAACCGTATAATCATTCACTCTATCCTATAACCAACCATATAATCATTCACTCAGCCTATAACCAATCGTATTATCATTCACCCATCCTATAACCAATCGTATAATCATTCCTCCAGCCTATAACCAATCGTATGATCATTCCTCCAGCCTATAACCAATCGTATAATCATTCACTCCATCCTATAACCAATCGTATAATCATTCCCCATCCTATAACCAATCGTATAATCATTCCTCCAGCCTATAACCAATCGCATAATCATTCACTCCAGCCTATAACCAATCGTATAATCATTCACTCAGTCTATAACCAATCGTATAATCATTCCTCCAGCCTATAACCAATCGTATGATCATTCCTCCAGCCTATAACCAATCGTATAATCAAGCATAACCGACCCAGATCAGATATAATGAGGTATTTCAGCAATCACTCGACTCAGGTATAAATTTTCATTAAGTTCATTTGTATATCTCGGTGTAGGTGAGTGGAACTGCCCGAGATGAGAGGGTGAGGAGTGAGTGGAGAGGAAGAGGATGTGAGAGGGATTGTGGGGTAAGGGATGGTGTGTGAGTGGAGAGGGAGGGAGAGGGATTGTGGGGTGAGGGATGGTGTGTGAGTGGAGGGAGGGAGGGAGGGGTAACGTGTGAGTGGAGAGGGAGAAAGAAGACGAAAGAGGGGTGAGGACTGATAGGGTGAGGAGTGAGAGGTGAGGAGTGAGGAGTGGAGAGGGGAGGAGGGATTGAGAGAGTCAGGGTGAAGGATAACATGTAGTGGAGAAGGAGAGGGAGTGAGAGGGTTTGGCAGGTGAGGTGTGTGTGGAGGGAGAGGAAAAAGGGAGTGACGGGTGAGTGGAGGAAAGGGCGCTGGGTAAAAAGGGTCTGAGGGGTGAAAGGAGAAGAGTGTTAGGTGAGAGGGGAGAGGTGAGAGAATAGAGGAGAAAGGGTGAAAGGTGGTGAAGGAAGAGACGAGGGGTGAGACGAGAGGGGGTGAAGTGAAGGGGGGAGAAAAAGGGGTGAGAGGTGAGGGAAGAGACGAGAGGGATGAAAGGAGAGGGATGAAAGGTGAGGGAAGAGGGAAGTGAAAGGTGAGGAGAGAAGGAATAGGGGTGAGAAGTGAAGGGGAAAGAGAAAAAGAGAGGGGTAAATACAAGGGTAAACGGGAGGACAAAAGAATTGTTTTTAGTTTAAAAACTCTTTTTGGTAAAGACGAGTACAATTTTACCTAATGAACAGTTCAGTCACGTCTTGACACAGGGTGCTATCACCGATCACTGCCACGCAAGACAGAGGTTCATACATAGGACGAGATAATAAAATAGGTTATATTCATTAGCGTCATATTATAAACTGAAGATAAATCAGTGTGGAATAGCAAATTTAGTACAAACTGCCATAATATATTCAAGCACTGATTTAATGTTGTAGTTACATAAATCATGATACAATAAGCCAGGTGGCCTGAAATCTTTGAGAGCTTTACTAACTTGCCAGATGTGTCTGTATCCTAGCCTAATTCTGGCCACGACTACATCACATTGCTTGGTTCTGTCCTTATGCTGGTCATACCGGTACCTCTCGTCACAAAATTTGTCATATTTACTAATGCTACAACTACCAGGTCTCTCTGCATTTCTCAGTTCTTCAAGATTAGAGTTCAAGGTCCGGTCTACATTTTCTTTCTTACATGCCCCATTGGCAATCTATCAACACGGTCATGATTCCTAATTCCAACATGGGACGGAAGCCACACAAATTCAATACGAAAGTTGTTCTCCTTGGCAGTTATCACATTTCTTTTAATATCATAGACCACTTTAAAGCACTTTGAGAGTCGCAATATATCGGGGGTGAAAGAAAGAGAAGAAACACGAGACACAGAACAAAATGAAAAAAACCGGGAGAAAGAAAATGGAACAGAGAATGGAGAGGGCAGGAGATGAGGAGACAGAGGAGAGAGGGGGCAAGCGTGGGAGTTGCCTGAAGTTAATGACCAAACAAGGTAATTGCCGTATACGTTTAGGACAAGGTTATAGGTAGGGAAGCAAATGAGGAAGTGTGGGCAAGTATGTGTGTGTGTGTGTGTGTGTGTTTCAAAGGTCCGCTTTGTACACACACACATATACTGTTAAATGTTGGGTAGTGGAGAAATTGCCTTTGCTATTTGTGCTGTTCTGATGCTGCTGTGTGAGGAAGAGAGAGAGACACAACTTATCACACCTGTGTTTGCCCCATCGCACTACGGTACACAAAAATCATATTTATACTTTAACGCAGGATTTTCTCTTGTAGATAAACACTGAAGGACAAAACATTAAACCTATATACTGGCACAAGAAAGAGAGTCTATTGATAAAATTTGCAATAGTGTTAATTACAATTCTGTACTGTATCTAGTTCATATATTTTACTGGCCAAAAACAACAATTCTTCTTCAATATTTGTAATAATTGAGAATGTGGAACTAAGAAAACACAACCTAGAGTGAAAAAAATACATACTAAAACGCACAGAATTAAATGGTTCATATCCCAGTCAACCAAGTTCAGTCATGTAATACCAGGAAGTTAACAATCTACACGGCGTTACAAATTATGGTAATACCTTGACTCTAATATTGAATATTCTGCTGAGATTAATATCATTACCTTTAGCACCCCAAATGTAGCGTGTGTTAGAGAGTTCTACCTGCTGCAATATATTGACGGTGATCACAGTGACACCATGACTCGCAAAATTATTACTCCTTTAAAGCACAGGTTAGGTTAGGTTAGCTACCAAGGTAAGGTTAGGTGAAGAAGACACGGAAGAGACATTTTCACGGGGATTTCGACAACCACCACCTTGGGACGTACAAGTATCTCATAAAAGTATCCGTCCACTCTGTGTGAAACATTATGAGACCACGGATGATAGATATCCAGGACATGCATTCGCTTTGGTATATAGTTTAACGAAAGTAATATAATGTGCATTTATTTCGGCGTAATTAATATGATGTTCGGTTACTATAGGCAGTAGGATCAGTCTGCCACAGAGCCGCATACCAAACCTCCTGGGACATCACGAGTTACAATTAGCATTTCGGAAGTCATCGGACCCATCCTGGCAGATACTTTTTGAGTTACTGTACCTGATCCTCTATCTAGCAGACACTATAGAGGAAGTCCGTGATATGTGATACTCCCCATCTAACGGACTTCTATATCCCGTAGATCGAGGTCAGTGAAATGGAGGTTTCCTATATACCTGTGTGTGTGTGTGGGTGGGGGGAGGGTACACGCAGAAGCGTTGTCATCCCGTGTGTGTGTGTGTCAACGGAAGCCACACCCACTAGCTACCTCCTGCCCTTAAAATTCTTGGCTTCTACTGGCAGCTGTGTGTCTGTCTGTTTATCTCTTTAGCTTTATCCTTTCTCTTTATTTTGCTGTTTCTCTGTCTCTTGATGTTTGTCTGTCTGCCAAATGTTCTGTCTGATGGTATTTTGTCTGTCTGTCTACTGGACCTGCCTGTTCGTAATAATAATAATAATAATAATAATTAACGGTTTATGGAAAAGTTCTGCAGCCCGAAGGCTGAAAATACACATGAAAATGACTTAATACATACAAAGACATGGGGTGGGTGGGTCGTTTAACAAAAGCTTTCATTACTAAAAGGAGAAGGAACATGGATTAAACATACAAATTATTATAGTTTACAGTTGATGGCCCGGGCTGGTCTCTTGCCCTATTGATCTGTCTGGTGGTATGTTTTCTGTATCTACTGCTCTGTCTCTTGGCATATGTCTACTGCTCTGTCTCTTGGCATATGTCTACTGCTGTCTGTTGGCAACTGTCCTTATCTGTCGGCATCTGTCTACTACTCTGTCTCTTAGCATCTGTCTACTACTCTGTCTCTTGGCATCTGCTCTACTGCTCTGTCTGGTGGTATTTCTGTCTGTTCGTGTGTTTCTTGTATCTCACTCCTCCTACCTCCACAAACACCGGCTGGTCGAGCATACCCCGCCTCCCCTCCGGCAGCTGGTTAACATGAGGCAGGAAAAATGCATTACTGACCACCTCCTGGCGACGACCCCCTTGTGCTCCTCCCCGTCTGCACTCTCTAACCTTGCCTCTCAGCCGTCTCTCCTCCTCCTATTCTCTTTTCCTCCGCCTCTTCCTTTCTTCTTCTCTATATCCTACTCTATTTTCCTCTATCTCTTCCTCTCTTTTCTTCTCATCTCTTATCTCCCTTTCTATTCTTCTCTCTCCTTCTCTGCTTCTCTGTTCATTCCCTCCTCTTCTCTTTAATTCTTTTTTAAACATTAGGTCAATTTAAGGTCACTGGCACTCACCTTTTGGGGGTCAGGATCAATAATTCAAGGTCACCACCAACGCTCACTATCGATTAAGGTTGATTCACGACCCACCATCTAGCGAGTGACGTCTGGCACCTAAAGGCACTCACCCTCGCTGAATACTAATTATCACCCGACAGATTACAAATTGATCGTCTTATCTTATACAGGAGTCGAAGATGTGCGATGTTTACTACTCTGTAAAGACCTATTTTGGCTTCAATTGGTGTCAGATTTACAGTGTTAATATAAAGTCGTGCTGGGTATAGTGTTAGCTTCACAGAGTGTTTATATTAATTAATCTATTTTAGAATGATAGAACTTCAACTTTCCACTGCTTTTAATCTGTGTTAACTTTATCTTATGTTACGTTTATCTGGTGCTAGGTTTTAAGTGCCGTGAGTCTGAAGTAAGGTTAGCTAAAGTTGTGTCACGTGCCTTGACTTTGTCATTGTATTCAAGTAGCGTTAATTTCAACTAGTGTTCTCTATGTTATATTCTCTACCCCATCAGTGCCACCATTTATAAGTTTATGTTTACATCACCAGCCACCGTGACAACAATCTTTTCACCTTGCCGCTCACCCAGCTTCTTTGCCCAACCTGCGGCCTAACTTACCACCCTCTTTGCCACCCATCTCATCATCCAAAATGCTCTCTCTGCCACCCTTTCCACCATGCAAACTACAGTACCACCCTCTCTATCAATCCCACCGTCCATATTGCCGCCCTCTCTACCACCCAACCTACCACCCACATCGCCTTCCCACCCCAACCACAACTACCCGTATCCCATATTATTATTATTATTATTATTATTGCAAGCCATTAATCTACCAATCTCCATCTCCGCCTCGTCATCCCTATGCCTAATCCCCAAACATGCCTACTCCCACGCCTCCTCATTCTCCACGCCTCCTGATACACGCCTCCTGATACCCCCTGCCTCCAAACACCCATACCATCACCCCCCCAACGCACCAATGTCTCACGCCTCCAAATCCTCATACTCCCAATCACCTCCCCACGCCTCCATTATCACACTCAAAAACAAACCAAGAATATTACTCAAACACAAACTCAGATCCCAAATTGGACTGAAATCAAAATCAAAGTCGGACTAAAAAAGAATTAAGGTTAAAACAACAAAACAACCAGAATTTAAACTCCACGACTCAAATTCAATTTAGTTAATAGCAACACATTATTTACCCGCGTTTTCTTCTCCGTTCTCACCTGCTTTACGTTATATTTTTTAACTCCGTCAATAGCTCTATACGCTAGTTGTACTGACTCATTGATTCGCTGTAGGACTGACTGACTCACTCACTCACTCACTCACTGAATGACTCACTAATTGACTCACCATGACTGTTTGACTCATCAGGTGACTCACTGAATGATTGACTGACTGATTGATTGACTCACTCACTCACTGATTCACTCCACTCCTCACGCACTCACGCACTAATAGAAAAAAGGTTTTATACTGAGAGGTAAATATATGCACAGTGACTCGTCCTTGTTTTTCGTATCTGGGACCGTCTGTCTTCCTGGTTGTCGGGGTGTTGACAGTGTATGTCTGCTGTCTTTTTTGTCTGTGTTTCTGTTGTGTGTGTCATTTATTTTTATCTGTCTGTCTTTTATTTTGTCTGTCTGTCTGTTTGCCTATTGACTGTCTGTCTGTCTGTAATTTTTGTCTGTCATTTTTGTCATTGTCTTTTAATTTTGTCTGTCTGTAGTTTTTTCATCCTACTTTCCACTTCCACTATATCGATGTTGCTGTCCCTTTTCTCTCTCTTCTTTCTTTCTCTCACCCTCTTTCCTTTCTCTCCCTCGCGTACGTTATTTATTTCGATTTTTCACCTCTTTCCCCTCTTATTTCTACCTCTCCCTCCCAACAACCCCTCCCTTCAGTCTCTTTCCTTCCTTCTTTCCTTCCTAGTTTCCTTCTGTCGCTCCCTTCCAGTCTCCTTCCATACATCCTTATAGTCTCCTTCCCTCCCCAGTCTCCTTCCCAGTTACCCTCCCTCCTTCCCAGTTTCCCTTCCTCCTCCCTCCTTCCAGGTTCCCTCCTCCCTCCCTCCCTCCCTCCTTCTTTCTCGTAATCATTTTATCATTCACTCAAGTCACCTCCTCCTCACACCCCTAGATCCTCATTCCTCCCTCTGCCTCCTCTGCGTCCCTCCCTCTAGCATCTCCTCCTGCCCTCCCTCTAACATCTCCTCCCGTGCTATATCCGTCCCTCCTGCCCTCCTTCCCTTATATCCCCCTGTATTCCTCCTCCTAGGATCCTGCTTCCCTGTGTCCCTCCCTCTAGCATCTCCTCCTTGTATGTCCCTCCCTCATGCTCTCCCCTCCTGATTCCCCTCCCTCCATTTCTTCCCTCTCTCTCTCTCTCTCTCCTGCAACCCCCTCCCTTCCTGCACCCAATAAACCCATCAATGGCGCCGTGCTCTGAGTGGGTGAGCCTCTGGAAGGACTAATCTGAGTTGTGGTGGCAGAAGTGCACTAGCGACGCCCTCGACGTGGGAAACTCTTGCTGGTGAGATAAAGGAAATAGAAAAGGAGAAGAGGACTGAGGTCCCTAAACCACCTGGGTAAT